ATTTGGGAAGGAATGGAAAGTTAACCTGGTGTAAGTCAGTTTCATACACCGTCCTTACATTGATGTAGGTGTTATGGAACTGTACGCTTAAGCTACATGCTGTGATCTGTTGCTTCTAAGTTACAAGGCTGCATAACATTACTGTATGGAATGCAGTAAGCAGTTGTAACACAATGAACATTTGTACATCTGAACAGAAGAGGCACTGTAAAAACGTGTGTCTGTGTAAGGCAGTGTCAATGAATGGGTCTTGCAGGATTAAAAGTTGTATGTGAGTCATTGATAAGTATGAGAGCTAAGGGTGTGATGGCGTTGGAGCTGTGGTAGGGTTGCTGCTACTTGCCAGTTTGCTATCATAGTGGCAAAGTGTATCTCATGTAGTTAGATGATCCTAACACCCATTCGTGAAGAAAATTGGCATTTTTTTTCTTTTGCTATAGTTTTTGGGGACCCTTGAGTCCATTTATTCACAATAATCATGTTTATTTAGGGCACTAGGTAATAGTTGGGTACATTTGTATGTTATATATATTGATTTATTTAGGGCACTAGGTAATAGTTCGGTACATTTGTGTGGTATATATGTGTGTGTGTGTGTGTGTGTGTGTGTGTGTGTGTATATATCCAGGATTCAGGTATCCTCTCACACATGTAGTTCTTCAAAGTCTTTGTTTTGGATTCTGTGAAACAGTAGTAACTACATAGTGATGACCTGTGTAATATAGCACCCGCTTATTCTTTTACCTTGTTTCCATTTAACAGTTTCTTCCCATCCTCACCTTCTTCCTCTGCTCCTCCTCCTAGTAACCCACCCACTCTTCTGCTTACTGGGCCTGTAGCTCAGCTGAAAAAGAAATTTTTTTTTAAAGTTATTACTGACTCCTTTAAGAAACTAAAGAAAACTATAACCTTGTGTGAGAGAAATTTTTCATTAAGCATACTTTTGTTTTAGACTTAAGGTTGAAAAATCTCTTAGGTTCAGAGCCCATTCTTACCAGGATTACATCAAGATGGAAACAAATTAAAAGATATCTAGAGGGGTCTGATGCAAGCCTGTAATTCCAGCTGCTTAATAGGCTGAAGTAGAATTGCAAATTCAACCCCTATTAGAGCCACAGGAGTCCAAGTAACTTACAAGACTTTGTGGCAGAAAAAAAAGTTGGGTAAAGCCAAAATGCCAAACATGATGGTTTGCCTTTAATCCTAGCACTGTTGAGGCAGATACAGGATCTGTCTATTTAGCAAGTGCCAGGTTGGCCAGAGCAACAAAAAAAGAAAAGGAAACAAAGAGCTGGATGTCTCCCACAGAATGCCTTTCTACTCTGCAGAAAGTCCTGGGTTCATAAGGTCAGCATTTGGGAGGTAGGCACAGAAGGATGAGAAGTTCAACTCAAGGTCGTTGTATACTTTCTTAGAGTTAAAGGCTAGCCTGGGTTATATGAGTCTGTCTTAAGGAAAAAGAAAAGAAGGATTGGAAATACAGCTAAGTAATGGAGTATTTGCCTACTTGTGTAAACAAGGTTCAATCCTACACACACCATTTGTTTTACTTATTAGGCTTAGCGAATTATATGTAATGCTTGGTAAATTTTTACTTTGCATCTTCTGTGTTTGTGAAGTAATTCCCTAAAATTGCAGAAGAGCTTTGTCAGAGTAAAAAAAAAAAAAAACCAAAGAAACCCCAAACCATTATTATGTTTATAGGTGTTGAGCCGGCACATATGTCTGTATCCACATGTGTGCAGTGCCTGTGGAGGCCAGAAGAGGGTACAGGTGGCTTTGAGCTACTGTGGGTGCTGGGAGTCCTCTGGGAGAGCTGCCAGTGATCTCCAGCCCTCTGTGTCAGATCTTGAAGCAGAAGTAACACAGAACTTTATTCTCCCCGCCTCCCTTTATCCACTTATCTCAACTGTCACTGTAGTATGATGATTGGTCTTGAGCCCTTAGAAAATATTTTGAGGGATGTTTTACTCAAATCCAGGTACATCTGCATTCTTAGTGTCTCAGTGAATGCTTTCAAATTTGTCAAGCTTGCGTGGATCAGCTTCACTTAGATTCTTCTCACGTTTTCTTTATCCCTGAGAGCCTCAATCCTAAATATCTAATTGTCCTAATTTTTTTCTACCCATGTATTATGTATAATAGCATCTTGTATATTTCACAGTTTATGGTCTGTTAGTGTCCAAAGCACTGTGTTTATTCTCTGAGCTTTTCAGTTTTTCCTTAGCTGCGTAGCGATTGCCTCTCTTCGCCTTCCTATGCTAGGTAGGTGGTGAGCACTCACCCCTGTGCCAGTTCCATTGAATTCCTTCATCATGAATTATAGAAAAAGATTTGAAGTCCATTGAGTAAATTGTAATTTTAAGAACATTTCTTTTAAGATTATTTCCAGAGTACTTAGATTAAAAATAGAAGTATAATTGAAATTAAAATACAGTTGTCATTGCTTTTAAAGTAATCTAGTGTTGGAAAAACATGAAACTTTATAGCAAAGACAGATTAATAAATTAGTATTGTTAGGTGAGATGCCCTGGGCTTCTGCAAGAGTATTAAGTTTAGTTGCCGCATAGTTGCGTACTGCTCTGTTGGAGAATAAATCCATGTAGGAAATACTGGATAAGTACTTTAATATTTAAAAACTTATTTCTATTTTAGTTGTTCAAATCTGTGAAACTTAGGCATATAGTGGATGTTTTTATTTGGCAGAAAGTAGTGCCTACAACCATTTTAGCGCACTGCATTAACTTTAGTGTTGTTGAAAGCAGAACTCAAAGAAGCCTACTTAGTATCTGAAGTTTTCTAACCGAATTGTTCTTGATTGGTAGTTAAGTAACCATGAATGACTAGGGAGAGCTTCATTATATGTAGAAATGTTGCTGCCATTTGTGTTTTCTCATTTCTTTTATTATTTTGCTGTTTGTGAACTTGTTGAATCATTTTAAAGAAAGTTTCATTTTCAAGTAGAATTAAAGATAAGGTTTATCTACTTTTTCTTGCAAGGATTTATTGCACAAATTTAGGACTCCCTCCCCCCCAAGCAAGTCCGACCCTTCCTTACTATTGTTATTATTTCTGCTGTATGTAGCGTGCCCCATGCCTTGGAGTAGTAGGTCACTAAAGATGGACACTCTTGCCTAAAATTAGAACTCATTGCTGGGATCTGAGATCTCAACAATAAACTAACTGGTCATTTCCATAGTGGGAGATACTGCTTTCATTAACTTGGCATTACGTGGATTGCCAAGAGAAGACATTCACACCTGACTTTGCTGCTTCAGAAAAGTTGGGACACAGGAAGAGAGGCGTTTATCATTTTTAGACTCATTATGCCTCATCTCATGGGAAAGGTATACATAATTTGGGGTATTAGGTGAAGGGATTTAGTCATTGTTATCCCCTCCCTCCTTTTTGTAAGCCAAAATATCTTTGGGAAGTAGAGAAGGAATGGTCTACAAAACCTTTACTTTGTAAGTCTATACAATGTGTATGATAGTGTATACCTAGAACCCCAGCTCTCAAGTAACTGAAACAGGTGGGGGGATCTGAGATCAGGGCTAGTCTGGGCTACATAATAAAATCCTGGCTTAATAAGTAAACACACATACACTTGCTTGATGGCTGGTTTTTAAAAAGTATGAGTAATATATGCATCTTTGTTTCCCTTCTCTCATTCTTCTCTCTGTTCAGTTACTTCTCTTGAGGCAGCCTCATGGGAGCCTTTTCTTTTAAATAGTTACCACGAGCTTAGAAACTTATTTACCCTACTCTGTATGTTTTCTCTTCCTTAACAAGCTGTAGTTCTTTTAATTGCTACATATTATTCCATTTTGATATGTCTCTGTGTTATTTTCCAGATTTTAAAAACTTTTTTTTTAAAAAAAAGTTTTATATGTATGGGTGTTTTTGCTGAATAAATGACTATTTACCATGTGTATATTCCCAGAGGCCCTGGAGGCCAGAAGAGGGTGTATATTCCCGTCACTGGAGTTATAGTCTTGAGCCACCATGTGGGTGCTGGTAATCAACCAAAATCAACCTGGATTCTTTGTAAGAACAGACAGTGCAGAGCCATCTCTCCAGTACCTAACTTAGATTTTTTGTTTTTTTTTTTAGAGCATCCCAGCTATTGTAATTTCATTGTGGTTTAAAAGGAAAAAAAACCTCTAGTTCTGTTTAATTTTTTTGGTTTTTTGAGACAGGGTTTCTCTAGCTTTGGAGCCTGTCCTGGAACTAGCTCTTGTAGACGAGGCTGGTCTCGAACTCACAGAGACTCTGCCTCTCAAGTGCTGGGATTAAAGGTGTGCACCACAACTGCCTGGCTCTGTTTAGTTTTTAAGACTCTTTTTATGGCCTACCATAGGTCTGTCTGATATTTGGAGCTGGTGGGGTTTTATTGTTACTTGTTTTAGTTTTTAGGTGTGTGTGTGTGTGCACTTGTCCTTGTAGTCCTTTTTGAGGCTGGATCTGAGGCATGTAGCTGAGTTAGTTTTCCCACTTACATTATTGATGAAGATGGCACTGAACTTCTCCATAGTCTACTCAGCTACCTTATAAAACCCAGGCCCACTGTCCAGGGATGGCACCGCCCACAGTGGGGTGGGTCTCCTGCATCAATTAGTAATCAAGAAAATGCCCATAGACATGCCTACAGGATAGTCTGATGATATAATCATCAGCTGAGAGTCCTTCTTCCCAGATGCGTATAGGTTTGTGTTAGCAACTAACCAGCACAGTAATAAAGTGGGCTTTCATGTGGTTTTGTTTCATTATATGACTGGAGAGCACCACTGGGGGACGACTTAAAGGCAGGCAGGTAGTGTGTATTCCTTCACCTTAATGATTAGATCAGGCTGTGGTCTGTATAGTGAAACATGAAGTATAGAGATAAGTGACCACGCAAACTGTGTTTAGTAACCTTGATTCTGGCTCAAAAGCAAGTACAGTAGTTATTATCAGTTACTATATTTAGTTTTCTTAGCTTTGAAACTTTCTGTTCACAGCTCTTAGACAAGCACAAGACTATAGAGAGCATGGTGGAGCTTTTGGACTTGTATCAGATGGAGGATGAAGCCTACAGCAGCCTTGCAGAGGCCACAACTGAACTCTACCAGTATTTACTTCAGCCATTCCGAGACATGCGAGAGCTTGCCATGCTGCGAAGACAGCAGATCAAGGTATCATTTTTTTTTTCTTTTTAAAGCATGAACTGTAGTGACTCTAGTTCTGAGACTGGCTAGTCACACATTTTAATTACAAAAGAAGTTTAGAAATAATGCAGATTCTTGGCCCTTCTTCTCCAAAGTTACTTTTTGGGACAATAAGTACACATATTATTGTACTCTTACTTGCACTTTTGAAAAATACTTCATTGCCAGTTACTTTATAATAAATTTGGCATTTGGATTAAAGGGTATCAGTAACCTAAGACAGGATATTAGAATTTACTTCTAAAAATCAACTGTAGACATTTTGAGACTCTAACCTGAAAGGCAGAAAACTGGACATGGGTGTCTACCAACACTGGACTGCGTGTGGTATTTACGGATATCACCTGTGGTTCAGCATTGACTATGTAAATTTAGGTTCATTTTCAGAGGGATATTAATTAATAACATTTGTTATAGACTATTGCCTCTGACACCATCAACCACAGCTATTTGATTCTTTTTGCTTCTTATGAATACTTGTACAGATAGGCATATATCCTAGTAATTCACTCTACCTAGTTACTGAGTTCATAGTGTATCAGATGAATGAGTATATTAAGTGGAACTATTACACAAATAACACATGTCCTTGTCCGTAGCTAGTAATGGTCACCAATTTAGGTGACTGTAATTCCAAATAATGTCTTAAAGTTATATTATTTATTATTACTAGTTACTATTAAGTTAGAAAATGACACACATTTTAAAAAAGGAATTATAATTGGTTTGACAAAGTATTTGTTATAAATAAGTACAACTAAAAACAATTGCTTGTTACCTGTGAATGTGACGTAGTTTAGTTAGCAGCATTTCCTTTTTTTGGGGGGGGGGGATTTTTCGAGACAGGGTTTCTCCGTAGCTTTTTTGGTTCCTGTCCTGGAACTCGCTCTGTAGACCAGGCTGGCCTCAAACTCACAGAGATCCGCCTGCCTCTGCTGGGATTAAAGGCGTGCGCCACCACCGCCTGGCTTAGCAGCATTTCTTTTGCTGTGATAAAACACCATGGCCACAGACAACTTGAATGTTTTCAGGTTAAATTTCCCCATCACAGGCTATCACTGAGGGAAGTCAGAATAAAAATAGAACAGGACAGGAACCTGGAGGCAAGAGCTGATGCAGAGGCCATGGAGGAGTCGCTGCTTACTAGCTTGCTCAACCTGCTTTCCAGTAGAACCCAGGACCATCAACCTAGGGATGGCACTGCCCACAGTGAGCTGTGTCCTCCCATTCCAATCACCAGTCAAGAATGCACCAGAGGGCTTCCCACAGGATAATCCAGTAGAGGGCATTTTCTCAATTGACGTTCCTTCTTTCAAAATAACTGGCTTTGTATCAAATTGACATAAAACTAACCAGCACAATTGAGACTTGTATTTGGATTATAGTCAAGCTATATCAATAAAATTTTTTTTATTAACTAAATACTCCATTTTTATTTGAATTTGGTTTTTTTTTTGTTTATCAATAAAATTTTAAAACCCCTTTTTACATTTTTTGTTTTTTGCAGTGGTTAAATTGAACCTAAGGATTTATGTTTTAGATAGCCTCTTTACCACCCTAACTCCTAGAAACTATTTTATCTTAATTTATGAAGATAAATTAGTGCCTAAAATAAAGGTAGAAACATGTTTCGCAGTGTATATTGTGTGTAGAGATAATAACACGGAAAAATCTTGAAGTCGGGAAAGTAGCAGAATGTATACTTACCATTTTGCTATTACGAATGCTGAAATTTATTCTCCAGCTACATTTTCTTATGTATTGTGTCAGACTTGTATTGAGTTGATCGTATTATAAATGTATTTTCTAACTTAACTGTAGTCTGCACAGATTTTTGGTTAGTCCGGTCTGTATTGCTTACGTTCCCGTGTTCCCAAAGGATTGCCTTGTAGGACCTTCTTCCACTTTAGATGGACTTATTAATGTCTCTGGCAGAACGGATTTCTCTCTGCACGCTTGACAAGACATCAGGTGTGAAACTGAAGCTCAAGAATATTTATGACATTAAGTATTTGTTAGCGAGGTCTAAAATATCCATTGAAGGTTCTCTCTGAGGACACTGAAAAAAAAGGTAGAGTTAAGGGATAAAACAAAATAATTGAAAAAGATTGAGAATAAGTGGGAAACAAACTAAACTTAGACAAAAAATAAGTGAAACCTAATTCTGGTTACATGAAAAATATGTGTTTTAGAATTCATCTAAATTTTTTGTTGTTGTTCTTTTTTAAAGAAAGCAGTAAAGATAGATTGTGTGTGTGTGTTGAGTGGAAATTGTTTTGTTTTATAACAGGGTCTCTCTTTATAATCCTGACTGTCCTTGAGCTCACTATGCATGAACTCAAGAGACTTTTCCACCTCTTTTCTCTTGAGCACTGGGACTAGAGGGGTGTGTCAATGTAACATGAATTCTAGTTGGTCTTAATAAAATCTCAGTGTCAGATATAGGGATTAATGCTGATAAGATCAGAGAAGCAGATTGGCCAGCCACTAGAAGGACCTTCCCTCTCCTATCCCTACGGTTTCTCTGTAGCTTTGGAGCCTGTCCAGAAACTAGCTCTTGTAGACCAGGCTGGCCTCCAACTTACAGAGATTTGCCCACCTCTGCCCTCCGGAGTGCTGGGACCACCAAAGGGGCCATCCTGTCCTCAGACTGCAGCTGTCTCAAACATGAAACTGAATCTGAGTTCCTGTCTCCACTTCCCTAATGCTGGGATTAAAGGCATGTGACCCCAAGTGTTAGGATCACCTTTGTGTGAGCTCTGTTTCTATTTTTTAGACAGATTCAATCTTGTGTAGCTCAGGTTGGCCTTGAACTAACAGATCCCTCTGTCTCCGGGAGTCCTGGGATTAAAGGTGTGTGCCACCACTTTCTGGCCTGTTGTGGCTTAGCTCTGCATTTTTATCTTCAGTCAAACTTTATTTGTCAAAATATCATTACACGTCACCATTCCCAGCTTCCATTTCCATCTTTTCACTCCTTTTATTCAATAGTATTCCAGAGGTCTAACTAGTCCAAAAAGTCTGTAAAATAATACATAAAAGTATAATACAAAGTAGTATAATAAAAATACAAAAAGCCGGGCAGTGGTGGCACACACCTTTAATCCCAGCACTCGGGAGGCAGAGGCAGGCGGATCTTTGTGAGTTTGAGGCCAGCCTGGTGTACAAGAGCTAGTTCCAGGACAGGCACCAAAAAAACTACAGAGAAACCCTGTCTCGAAAATTAAAAAAAAAAAATGCAAAAAAAGAAATAATACATAAATTGGAAAAACTGAAATAAGGCCCATTATTTTTAGGAAGATCACGTAGAAAATTCTAAGTACTCAAGAGCTGTTAGGAAGAATATATAAGTTTAATGTATACAGTCATTATGAAAGATTTGGTTGCATATTGTCTTCTGGATGTGAACAATTGAAAATTGAATTTTTTAAAATGCTACTTAAACAGTTCTTGTACACCAGACTTTCAGTAATACAATTCTTAAAGTAATGCTGAGGTCACTGTAGTAGTCTGACTGTGCCTATTGCCTTGGGATGCAGTCCCCAGCAGCACAGGACAAGTAAACACCAAAATTTGGCAGAAACTATAGAGCACCTAACTTGAGAGGTATTGCACATTAATAGGTTGAAAGACTCAGTAATAATTATAGTCTGTCAGTATGCTGGTCTGTTCTATTACTGCAACAAAGTGTCCAAGGTAATCTTCTTATAATAACAAAGGAAGATAGTCTGAGTCGGTGCAGGCTCTGGCGAGGACTTCACTAATACCCTCTTTTGGTGGTTGCAGTATTAGGAGTAGAAGTATGAGGATAAGATCATGCAGTCAGTCAGTCTACAGTCCCTTCTGAGGGTGCAATAAGCTGAACTGAGAGCTTCTTACCTCCCCATCACTACCGTCACGGGGAACAAGTTTAGACAGACTATAGCAGTAAGATCTCATTTAATTGATATATCGAATTAAATCAATTTAGCAGTGCCTTTATAGTTTTAGTATTTAACTTAATAATAAAACTTTTCATATACAGTAGTGTTTTGTGTTTTATTTATACACATACAAGGGCTAAATTGGTCATGGTGGTGCACACTCTTTGATCCCAACACTCAGGAGGCAGAGACAGGCAGATCTCTCTGTGTTCAAGGCCAGCCTGGTCTACAAGTTCCTGGACAGCCAGGGCTGTTAAACAAGAGGAACCCTGTCTCAATACCCCTGCCTCCCCAAAAAAGTAGAAGGGCTAAATTTAACTACTTAACATCTTACATACCTAACCAAATTATGGTGAGAGCACTTAAGATCTGCTGTTATGTTTTTAAAGAATATTACATATTGATAAGTATATTTTACTATGTTGTAACAGATCTCTTTAGTAGTCTTCCTAACTAATATTTTGTACCATTTAACTAAAACCTTCTCTAAGCTCCAAATCCCTCCCTTCTACATGAGTTAGTGATACCATTCTACTCTTTGTTAAAGGCTGAATGACATTTTGTTTTTCTCCCTAGACAGGGTTTCTCTGTATCCCCAACTGTCCTGGAACTCATATTTGTAGACCAGACTGGCCTCGAACACAGGGAGATTCGTCTGCCTCTGCCTCCCTGAGTGCTGGGATTGAAGGCGTGTGCCACCATTAAAGACTGGCTGAATGACATTTTTATGTGTGTGTGTGTGTGTGTGCATGTCCATGATTTCTTTGTCCATTCATCTGTTGATGGACACATGCCTTCATTGCATCTTTTTATTTTTGTGAGCAATGCTGCAGTTAACGTTGGAACCTCCTATCTCAGCATACTGGCATTAAGTCCTGGGTCATATATCTAGAAGTAGGACTGGAAGAATGTGTGGTCTGTTTCTAATTATTTCAGGAGCTGCCACAATAGTTCCCACCAACAGTGTGCAAAACCTCCTCTCTTTGTCTCCTTCCCAATATTTGTAATTTTTTGTCTTTTAATAATATCCCTTTAAATAGGAGT